GCACAGAGCCCGACGCGGGGCTCAAACCCACGAACCGCGAGATCATGACCTAAGCGAAAGTCGGAAAGTCGGACGCTTAACCGACTAAGCCACCCAGGCGCCCCTAAAATTTTAGATATTTGAAAGCGCTACTGAAAATCCTCTGGGAAATAAAGGGCAGCAACTGCTTTTTAGGCAATTGGATGTTCTTTCACAGTGAAGGACCAGCTGTGAAAGATTTATGGTCACAGATAAATCAAGAGTGTGGCATTTACTCCTAGTATGAAATGTCCCCTACAGCTCCCTGAAGCTCTCTCCGGCGGCCGGAGCTAGCTGACGCCACCATGCTGAGCTGCCAAGGTACAGCTGATGACATTTCCTATGGGTGGCCTCCCCAACGTTATTTAGGTCAACTGCCACGTGGACCGAAGCTGCCATAGTGACACCTGCTCAGGACGCCTGAGGCTACAGGAAAATTTATGACTATCTTCACACACATCTCACTGGCCCAAAAACAAACAGATTTCTCGACACTTGTAAGTTCTCTGACTCCACTATGAAAGCATCATCTTACTCTGTACGAATGAGGAGGCAACAGAACATGCCAGAACACAACGGAGAGTTTCCAGGTAGACTCTGGGAGGTCAAATAAGATGTTAGATCCTGTGGAATCTTTTTTCAAATTTTGAAAAGTTGCCTTTCTCTTACATTCACAGTGCCAACCTAGAGTGTGGCTCTAAAGTGGGGTTTCCAACCTCTCCCCATTTCCATTGAGGAGGTTTCTCAATCCTGGCTCTGCTCTCCTCCCTGGAGGGGGGTCTTGTAACGCCCCTCACCTCCTTCTATGGCAGGACGAGAACTGCACGTGAATTACCCTAAAGCACGCACACGTCGCCATGTTGGAGAGCAGCCCCGTGAACCTCTTCAACGGACACTTGAGTCCCATGGTCTGGGGTCACCTGGCGCGAGACCACCTCATCTGCAGCTCCTTCAGGGCTCCCCCTCCCATTAAATGCCCCAAGACCACTTTAAAGCCAATCCTCAGCTATGGTGAGGATACAGTATACAACGACTTCCACTCCTACCGAAAGCACAGAAAGCTTTTGCTATTTTCTCCTGGAATTTTTCAAATGCATGTTTAGGAGACAATCAACTCCCTAAGAGTCAGCATATAAGGGTCTTAAAAAAAAAACAACAACAACCTAAGAACTTTCTAGAAAGGTTCTACTCTACGGAAGGGTACACTGGATTTTGCATCCTACAGCATATGAGGTATTTCTTGATTTCTTGCACCGCCCTCTACCTTCTCCCAGATTATCGTTTTACTCAGTATTAAATGGACTTAACAGGGGTGCCTGGGTGGCTCAGTCGGTTAAGTGTCCGACTTCAGCTCAGGTCATGATCTCACGGTTCGTGGGTTTGAGCCCCACATCGGGCTCTGGGCTGACAGCTGGATCAGAGCCTGGAGGCTGCTTCAGATTCTGTATCTCCCTCTCTCTGACCCTCCCCTGCTCATGTTCTCTCTCAGAAATAAATAAAACATTAAAAAAAATTAAATGGACTTAACAGTATTTTGAACCAATCTGTTCATGGACATTTAGATCAATCTTTCCAATCTAACATGGTTATCTCTGTCATACATCATTTCAGATTATAAAGGCATCCTTAAGATACATTCCTAGATGCAGGATTCGAGGACAAGTATATGAGTGGTGCACAGGGTTCTACATTTTTCCAGCACTTCCTCAACTCAGTGCAACATAATACTGAAAACTGCAGGGACGTACAGACACCTAACAAACCACTATAAAGCAAGTGCCAGTGAACTACTGTCAAACCCCTGGGAGTCCCTCAGTTTACCTCTGTTCTTTAAAACCCTCACTGGCTTTTCAGACGTTCCCGCTATCTTTATTTTGTGATATTCACTGAATTATAAGAAAACATGCATTTTGAAGAATTGTAAACCAAAGGGGAGGAAATCCACGATGAGATCTAAGTACACATAGAATTTAACTGGAAAATCTTTTTTTTTTAAAGTTTATTTATTTTTGAGAGAGACAGAGAGAGCGAGCGAGCAAGCACACAAGCGGGGGAGGGGCAGAGAGGGAGACACAGAATCTGAAGCAGGCTCCAGTCTCTGAGCTGTCAGCGTAGAACCTGGTGAGGGGCTTGAACTCACCAGTGGTGAGATCGTGACCTGAGCTGAAGTCGGATGCTTAACTGACTGTGCCACCCAGGTGCTCATAACTGGGAAATCATGTTATGATTCCCCAGTTGGGTTGGCTTATCTCAAGCCAGTTTCACGCCTTTACCTTTGGTTGTGATAGCTGCTTAGAAGGTGCGACACAAAAATAACATTAGGGCGAGAGAGAAAGAGGAGAGTGTGGGCACAAAATGTAGTATTTTTTAAGGTTATTTATTTGAAGAAAAACGTTTTACTGCTTATTTATTTTAGAGAAAGAAAGAGAGACAGCATGAGCTGGGTAGGGGCAGAGAGAGGCAGATACACAGAAGCCGAAGCAGGCTCCAGGCTCCGAGCTATCAGCCCAGAGCCCGACGTGGGGCTTGATCCCACAAACTGTTAGATCATGACCTGAGCCGAAACCAAGAGTCGGACCCTTAACTGAGTGAGCCACCCAGGCGCCCCCCAAAATATAACTGTTACACGTAATTGTTGTACTCACCACAGGGCTAGTCGTTGTTCAGTCTCCTTGAGAAAGCTTGTGTGAAACTTGTGCAAAGGTTCAAAATTTGGGAATATGAGACTTTTCAAGGCTTCGGGCATGGCGTCTTCTTTGCTGACTGTGCTCTGAAACCACTGGAATAACAGGAAGGCACCCTGAGAGGCTTAAAGATGAATGACCGCAATCCTTGAGAAGGAATGTGGGGGCCCAGCGTGCCCGAGCACACAGGCCTTCACTGCTCCGTGCGTGGCGCTCAGGAGCCGCAGGGGCTTCTGGGCCAATAGCTTTTCTGGTCTTCAATTACACAGGGTGCAAGGCACCCATCTCTTTATTACTGCTTCCTGCAGTTTGTTACCAATCATTGGCTGTCGAGGCCAGGAGAAATGTCTGAAATGGGCAGCTACTTCCACCAAAACTTCCACTTTGGCTATCTCACTGGGTAACCACAGATTTAGACTCCTGCACCTGCTCTGCCTCAGTCCTTCTAGAACATCCGTCTTTGTTCCTTTGTGAAAATGCTGAGTGCCAATGAGGCTGCACCAGAGAGGGAAAGCCACAGCCTGTACACACACGGTTGCTCGTGAGGTGGGGCTGTCCCACAACATTTACTGAGCACCTGCTGGGGGGTGGGGTGGCAGCACCATTCACGCCCGGGAGGCGCAGAAGCCCACCGATTCCTACCGGCCTCCAACGTCTAGTTCTTCCCCAGAATCCAGGCGCCATGAAGACATCTGCAATGCTTTGAACATGTTTCCAAGCCTGAACAGGACTGATCAAAATAGTAAGAGGTAGTTCCCTGTCAGGTTGGCTGACATGGCTCGATTTATTATCAAAGATAAAAAATGAGGCTTCTATTCACCTCTAGGGTCCTCCTCAAGCAGAAGTAGCTACCTTGGCATGATGGACAAACCGCTCTGCTCTGGTGCGCGCACGCAGTAAAATGCTTAATTTTCATTTTCTCCACTTTAGAAACTTCCTTTCTTTGCATTTAAAAATCACGATTATGCAACTTTTTATAGAGCATGTTCCAAATTAAATATACTCTTACCGTTTAATTTCTATAACCCAGAGAACCAAATCCTTTTAATTGGAGTCAGAGAACCTGACATTTAATTAGGTCCAGCTTCTCTCTGAAAGCTGCATATGAGTGGAGGTAAATCACGTCATCAGATGCTTTAGGGGAAATGCTACACATACCGAAGTGATGACCTCAAGATCCTTCAGATATGTTCTCTCGGTGGTGGAGACCTCCTTAGCGATGAAATATGCCTTGTCAGTTGGGAATCTCTGCAAAATCCACGGGAGAAACAAGACAAGACGGAATGATAATCTTTGAGTGGAAGTCTCTAAGAATGTCCTGATTAAAGCGATACATTGCTAATTTACGATATTTCATTAACTGGGTTAAAGGCTAAATAAACTCTTACTTGTCCTTTTTGTGTGAGGAACTAGCAGAAGAAAATGGGTTTCCACGAGGAAAGAGCCTGGGAGAATTTCCTTCCACATAAACATTACCCTCAGTAAAAGGCCGCCAACGAGCATGTTAGCCACCGCAGAGAACTACCCATTCAAACTTGGGCATCCAAAAATCGAATCAACTAGTAAAATATCAGAGCAATGCAGTCTTCCAGGAACTAAAAGAAACAGAAACTGCAGCGGACTTTGTCCTGGGTGCCGGAGCTGGTGGTGTCTGCGTTCATGAAACAGAAGCTACAGTGTTTCTAACAGTATGTAGGGGGGGCGATCTGAGGGGACGAAGTGAAAGCAGCTGCTGACACCACTGTGACTCGATTCCCCAGAGTCCGTCGCTTGGGTGAGCAGGCACCTCTCGACAGTGGGCTAGCTATGGGTTTTGCTTTCTCTTTTAACAGTAAGAAGGAATGTGGAGACTCGAATGGACCCGTGCGCCCACGTTTCCAGCAGCAGGATTTTGGTGAACCACCCAACCATCCATCAGCAGAGGTACGTGAGCACAAAGCAGTCTGCCCCTGTGGTGGGGGAGAATTCTACCTTAAAAAGGAAACTGACATGTGCCGCAACATGGATGAATTTCTCCAAGTGAAAGAAGCCAGACACAGAAGGACACATATTGTACGATTCCCCCTGTATCAGATACTCAAGTGGCTGAATCCATAGGTGCAAAAAGTAGAAAGGAGGTTGCCAAGGGGATGGGGAAGAGAGGGATAGAGATTTAGTGTTTAATGGGGGCGGTTTCGGTCTGGAACAACAGCAAAGCTCTGGGAATGGACAGCGATGATGGTTATACAGCACTGCGAATGTACCCAACGTCACTGAGCAGGACGCTTAAAAATGGTTAAAACAGCAAATGCTATGTTTACTATGGGAATAAAAAAAAAAAAAAGCAACACGCGTGGGCACGCAGGTCCCCGCACCTTTCTGCGGCCTTCTTCCTCATCGTCGGTGCGTGGGCACGCCTGGTCGTTCAGCAGCGGGCTGACCAAGGGAGAGGCCTGCTTGGTGTCGGGGCTCAGGTTGGGAGACAAGATGGCGTTGGCGGGCACAGCTCCTCCCTGCGAGTTGATGGATAGCTCTGAAAGGTGAGGGCTGCCAGTCAGGGAGCCTATTTGGGGAGGAGAAGTATTAAAGAAAAAAAAAAAAGTAATTCCTTCTGGGACCTGATTTCTCCTTAAAATTTTCCCCCATATCAAATCTTTAGATCCTAACGTGCTTCGCTATTTTCTAGATTTTCTGTAAGGTGCAGCTGCCTTAATGCTAAAGATACCACAGTATGAAATGATATAGTGGAGCCAGAGTCATGTAATTAACGGTGAGATAGAGAACTCTGCTTACGGAGGCATTATAGTAGTTGAGAAGCATAGTGTATGCTCCCCAAATACGATCTTCATCTCCTAACTACTGCCTTAGCTTCTAAGAATTGCTCGAGAATAGATAGTGTCTATACCACCAGGAGGCGTGAGAAAGGACTAGAGAACAGAGCTATAATGCTAACAGGAAACTAAATGGCCGATGCACCCAGGGCGGACTGCACTTTGGAACAACCGTGTGGCTAAGTAAAGGAGACAAGCAGCTAACTCCCCCTTCTACAGAGAACAGAAGCAAGCTTATTATACCTGGAGACGGCCTTCCATGTCTCTCTCACTGCTTGGGACAGAAACACTAGCATCACATTTACATGCAAAGGTGATCATTTATAAATGCAAAGCCGGAGGTCAGTACAATATCACGGTTCCCCTTTAAGAGTCAAAAAGTGACAGGTAAGTAATGATTCCTCTGAGAAGGACACATTAAATCATATGAAAGTGTAGAATTACCCATTGTAAGTCAAAGGATGTGGTGTGTGCAGGAAACTCCTTGCCAACAGGATTTTGCAAGGATCCAAACCTCAACCCGCTGAAGCTAAATGGGATGTGTCAAAATATACTTCGACCTAAGAGCCTGCACCTAACACATTTATAATTCAAATGCAGGTTTGTCAGGACTAGCGCTAGGCTAAACAAAGTTAAAGCAGCCTGCGGTCCCGGCTGTTACCAGTATGAGGGAAGACGATGGAAAAGCTTTCTCATTTTCCAACATGCGGTTTCAGCTCATGGCTATTCCGAAACTCGACAAGGATCTGGGAGAGAAAGGTGAATTTTCTGGGGCATCGCCCGTTTTCTTGACATCTATCCTCTCCCGCTGAACTCCTTCACTTTGAAACTACAAGATGGGATGGCCTCAAATGGAGGGTAGTGAACTTGATCACAGTATGAATGAGCCAACCATGAAAGACCACCAGCCCCCACCCCGTCTCAGCTGGACCAGCCAGCCGAGTTGCTAATACAGGCATGAAAAGCCACCACACCCAGAAAAATACAGCAAAAAGCAGACATCCTGCTACTGACTACTGGTCAGGACAACGATCCTTGAGGAACGAGATTAGAAATCGTGAGGAAGAGACAGATTCAAGAAGTTTGCGCTTTACAAATCCCTCCATTGAAATCCTTGCATTTTTATACACATCACTGAAATGAAGTCCTGGTGTTAGGCAAAGACCCATTCACCCCACACACCACCAGCCCCAGCGAAACCCGGAGAAAAAGGCCAGAAATTGCTTCACAAATGTCAATTTTATTGACACCAGTGCACAACTGAATACAATAATTTGGAAAGAATTGGAACTTGTCAAATAGAAATAGTGACAACAACGAGAATCGCAAGTGTTTCAAGGTACTACACTATTCTCTTCTTTAAAAAAAAAAATCACAAAAAGGCAAATGTCATCACTACAAATAGGAAATTAGAAGAGAGAAATTCTGGCAGTCTGTCTAGAGATCAAAACATATCATGCATTTGTGAGTCACTGTATCAGAATCACTTTTTATTTGTCCACCATAATCTGGCAAAATATGGGGCTTACCTTCAGCTCTCACGCTGTGCGTGAGGTCAGGTGAGGCGGTTATTAAGTGAGCACATGCGGGGCCTTGACTTTGCAGTGACGTGGAACAGAAAAAGCACTCACTTCATCAGTGAGCGTTGGAGTCAAGAATAAAGAAGCGGTTAGAAGGCTGGCTCGCAGGAGGCATGGCGAGTGGGGAAACAGGACCAATTAGGCCCTTGGACAGCATCCAGGAGCAGATGAAAAACCAACCACCTCGCTGCGGGGGAGAAAACCCATGCGCGAACACCCTCGGGTGCAACCACTTCTACCCTCCAAGGTCAAAAGCTATTGCCCTGGTGAATCCCCCGGGGAACGTGTCTACAGAACACAGAGCAGGGCTCCAGGAGAGGTCTGTCCTCCCAAGAAGGCAGGACAGGTTTTCAGAGAAAACAGCCATCTAGAAGAGTGCACACTGAGCCTCATCACAGAAAGGACTGAGAAAACGGGGCACTGGGAGTGAACTTCATGACAACCCGTGTTCTTCCCGGTTGGAGGAAGGGACAGCCCTGGGGCGGCTACAGGTTGCTGGGTGACAACCTGCTGGATTCACTCATGTCGCCCAACGATGTGCGTGACCAGCAACGTTGCATGTGCAACACACAGACTCGGGGAACGACCAAGGTTAGGGTCCCCGGTTCTGTTTCCAGAGTGGCTACTTCAGCTGGCTGTGTGTCTACTCTAAGGACCTAAGAAAGGAAGGCTGATGGGTGTATTTAACAGTAGGACCAATAAATCAATAAATACCGAGCAGCCTGGTCTAGAAACCTGTCAGTAATTCTACGGAGGGGAAAGGTCCAAACTCTGAAGTTCAAGTTCGCTCATTTGAGCTGCGTTCACGGAGAAGAGCCCCCTTTCTCCCTTTGCAAGAGAAACAATTCCAGACTTTGAAAATTTATAGGAGACGTGGTCCAAACAAAAGTATGTAGCTCATTTACCATTCGGCAATCAATGAAATATGCTGATAAGGGTAATCAGTAGAATTTGGCAGCTTGATGAGAAATTAAAATTCTCTTTTTGACTCTGAGCCAGAGTGCCGTCACAACTGTCTGTACAGAGTGGTGTCCTCGGTAAGTTCCACCCTCTGGCAAGTGTGAGGAGCTGGGTCTTAAAGTCAGTGTCTCAGGTTACAGTCATCGGAACTACGTGTAACCAATTTTCAGTGTAGGAACTACGTGTAACCAATTTTCAGTGTAGTCCATTTTTGCAAAAACAAACAAACATGGTTGCTCTGTAAGATAAAACGAGGCCGCTTATCACTCCAGCCTCAGTGAGCCTGTCCAAACCATGCAGCTGGTCACTGGCTTTGAAGGCGCAGCCGCAGGAGACGAGGAGAGGAAATGGTGACCCATCTTCACGGCTACTCCGTGAACTCATTAACGCCTGGGTAGTTTTATCATGTTTTTTTCTTTTTTTAAAATCTGTGGTAAACTGACACAAAGTCACTTCTTTCAGCAACAGGTTCTAGGTGAATAATTTTGGGGGATCTTTTGAGAAAGCACCTGGATATTAAGGCAATAATGTGGAAAGAATTTTAAAGAGACTAGAAAAAGATCAGTTACACTCCAAAAGTCTGGAAGCTTTGGAGTTTTTAAAAATTATTTTTCCTATTTCCAGAAAAATTGCCCTGCATTTTTAAACGCATGCAGTTATATTTCCAGTGAATGACTCTCAAAATCCTTCACCTCTTCCAAAGGATTTGTCTCTGCCATGTCCCACCCCCCCCAGGCTCACTGGCCGCCATTAATCTGTATCAAGAGGGCTGAATTTATGTCCCCCCTCCTCCCAGTGGAGTGGAAATGCCATCATCAATACTGCTCTCAAGGGAGGCATTTCTGGTAATTGCTTTCAAAAATCCTTTTAAGTATGCACATTCTCATGGCACAAACAATTACAGAACTTCAAATTAGCATGGTTGTATTTATGGATTCAATTTATCACCCAGCTGAGAAATGTGCTTACCTTCTCTCTTTAACGTAAAATACATTGCATAATTCTTTCCTCCTCGGCAGCATCGCCCAGACAGTGGCGTCTCCTGACCACCCCTTGTCACAGGTACAGATACAGCAGGAATGTGGTCTATGACCAACAAGGCAAACTCGAGGCCTGACACACACCCCCCATTTTTTGGCATCAGGCACTGCTGTACCTCCTCTGATTGTTTCATAGCTTAAGGACAAACTCACATAAGTGTGAGAAAACAGAATTTTCTATTCTATTTTTCAAGCAATGTAAAATGGCATTTCGAATACGTGGTTGTACCTGTCCTGTTTTTTAAATTGGCCAATCCTCTGGTAGTCTCCTTTTTTAAAGAAGTTCTTTGTCCTATAAGGTGTTTAGGAAACCTGATAATCGTGTTAAAAATAGTCATCCACAGCAGGATTGTTACTTAAATATTTGAGAATACCGACTGCTTTCTCAATTCCTCTTTTCCAAATTCTAAGAACGTTAAAAGTCTCTATGCTGAGTCTCCCACATTACCCCCAAAGAAAGTTACCTGGCGAGCTTCTACATGCCACTCACCTATCATGATTTGTCTCCTGGTATTTGGTTCTAAAATATAGATTTTCTCTCTGCATACCCAGAATATGTTCCAAAGGCACATGTAGGAAATACATTATAGATGTAGGTTTTCATGGATCTTTAAAAAGGCTCTTTTTAATTCCATCATCTCTCTCTAAAAAAAGAATACAATGAATTCTCTCTGGAGGTTGCCTGCATCTGAAAGCCAGTTATCAAAAAAGGTCGGTAATGAGTTGGAAAACGGATTGTCTCCTGCATGGACAGGATTTGCTCTATGAGAACTCAGCTGGGGCCCGCGCCAGGGGAGCAGGTGAAAAGCAGCTGACCAGGCTTTATGACAATCACAAGGTCCCAAAAGGAAAGCTAGTTTATAGGATTACCAACCACAGCGGTGCTGTCCTTCTTGATCACGGAGGGTGTTGAGGGCAATGTGTGTCTATGCTGCTTATTCTCAGACCAAGGTCCTTTAAATAAGGCTTTACAAGCAGCTAAGCACCCACCTCAACGTTCATCATCCAGCAACTCAGAAACGCAACAGCAATGCAACTTGCAGAGAAATAAAGATAGAAATGCTACCAATGGTGGAATGACAGAATGTTCTAGCGTGCTCTTCCTTATGGGAAAAAGAGAAAGGAGAATTTCCCTTTGTTCAAACATGGTGG